CGCCACATTGCCACCACATCGCCACCACATCCCCGCCACATTGCCCCCACATCCCCATTACATCGCCGACACATCGCCGCCACATCGCCGCCACATCGCCGCCACATCGCCGCCACCTCGCCGCCACATCGCCGCCACATCGCCGCCGCATTGCCGCCACATTGCCGCCACATTGCCGCCACATCGCCGCCACATCGCCGCCACATCGCCGCCGCATTGCCGCCACATTGCCGCCACATCGCCGCCGCATTGCCGCCACATTGCCGCCACGTTGCCGCCACATTGCCGCCACCTCGCCGCCACATTGCCACGCCACGTTGCCGCCACATTGCCGCCACATTGCCGCCACATCGCCGCCACATTGCCGCCACATTGCCGCCACGTTGCCGCCACATTGCCGCCACATTGCCGCCACATTGCCGCCACCTCGCCGCCACAGCTGCCACAGGACCTTATTTCTGCCAATAAGCTCTTGTTTTGGCCAAACAGGACCTTATTGGCAGAAATAAGGTCCTGTGGCAGCTGTGGCAGCTGTGGCGGCGAGGTGGCGGCAATGTGGCGGCGCTGTGGCGGCAACGTGGCGGCAATGTGGCGGAAATGTCGCGGCAACTTGGCGGCAATGTGCCGCCATTGCCACCACATTGCCGCCACATCGCCGCCACAGCTGCCACAGGACCTTATTTCTGCCAATAAGGTCTTGTTTTGGCCAAACAGGACCTTATTGGCAGAAATAAGGTCCTGTGGCAGCTGTGGCGGCGAGGTGGCGGCGATGTGGCGGCAATGTGGCGGCAATGTGGCGGCAATGTGGCGGCGATGTGGCGGCGATGTGGCGGCAATGTGGCGGCAATGCGGCGGCGATGTGGCGGCGATGTGGCGGCGATGTGGCGGCAATGTGGCGGCAATGTGGCGGCAATGCGGCGGCGATGTGGCGGCGATGTGGCGGCGAGGTGGCGGCGATGTGGCGGCGATGTGGCGGCGATGTGGCGGCGATGTGTCGGCGATGTAATGGTGATGTGGTGGCAATGTGGCGGCGATGTGATGGCGATGTGGTGGCAATGTGGCGACAATGCGGTGACGCTGTGTTGACAAAGTCGCGACAACTTAGTTAGGAAGACGATGATTGCGTGCCCTCACATGGACAAAGCAGAAGAGTTGCGGTCTTGAAAACTTTACCCCGCAGAAAAATATTTACATTGCAAATTTGGAAAGCAGGTCCTTCTTACCCCGAACCAGAAAGCCCAGCAAATTCACCGTCATGTCCATTCCCAAACTTTGGGTGCGCCTGCGTGTTTTCAGATGACACTTGCATATTGTTCAGCGTTGCCTCTTCTAGTCCTGGCGTGGCCCAAACATTAGACAGTGTGACTCTATCTGTTCGCGTGTGTTTTGCAATGTTTCTTGCTGTGAGGCTATGACTGTTTGATTGTTTTGGGTATCTTCGATGATTATTTTGTGTTCTGCTTTTGGCTTGCGTGCTTTGCACTTTACCACTGGTTTTTGCACACTTTGCATATGGTGTTGCATCATTGACATGCAGGCGACGTTTCTTTTTACTAAAGCATGCCAACGTACAGTGCCTGCAAGTCAGCTACTCTCAAGTCAGACATGCTTGAGTACACGGAGCAGCCTTTAACGCCAAAGGTTGGTGAAATTGAATTCAAAGGTGTACAAAAACTTCTTTGTGCTTACTGTTAAACTGCCTTTGGGTCTGCTGGATCTATGCGCCAGCTGAATGATGATTGTGACACGTTGGATCCCTTCTAAACGCATTTAGTTTGGAACAGATTCTTGCCCATTGACACCTTGTCTTCATCGAATTTGTGAAGACATAGTACGTAGGCTTGCGTATTGACAACGAGCAGCTACAGCAACCTGAATCTGTCTGTCCCGCTCTAATCCTACATGATATTTGTTTTTTTCGATCACCATTTTGTACATAAAATGCATGGACTTGAAAACATGATCCACATGTATATCAATTCCAGTTTTTGGACGTGTCAATCACAGGTCCTGTATCTCCTTTATCTTCACCTCCCCTTTGCAAACACGCACGTTGTGAAATACCATGAGTCCAGCATGCATGGCACCCTGGCGATTTTTGAAACCTGCGCAGCAATCTAGATGCTATCAATGTCAAATCAGCGATGTTCAAAACCCTCTGTTGTTTGAAGATTGCGGGCGGCTTTACCAGCCAGTGTATTGGGGACTATCAGGGCACCCCTATCAACCAACCAGCATACTGCAACCAGATGGGCCTTGAACACTGCTGATGTGAATCGTCTACATGAATCGATGTTCGGCACATGTTGGCACCCTGTATGGTAAACAACAGCTATTTTTTTTAACAGGATGTCTGCAATGAGAAAGGAAGACACGCAAGATAGGTTTCTATTATAGTTCCGGGCTGTTAACCTTTTCGGGGCAACTGCAAGGAATCATTGCCAGCCTGTGAATCACTGGCAAATAAGCTCAGTCACCATCTTCATGTGCCCTAAAGCAAGTTTCTTGTCAGCAAAATGTGCAAAACGGGTGACCGGTTGGGAACACAGGTCAACAAAGTGGTAGGTTTAATTAGGTTTATATACATGTTATTTTTCCTAAGAGAAAGTACCACAGCCAAGGTCACCAAACGGGCGCGCTATTGAATATGGTTGGGATTTTGCTTCAAAATGAGTATTGCGCTGTTCTACTCAGATATTCTTCCCCAAGCCCAGCTCTAATTATGAAAATCTACTCCGGTAATAAGCGTATTTTTTGTATAGGCACCGCATGCTGACCCATGACAAGGTGATATCTCATAGGTGAAGCTTGGGCAGAGGTGCTACGTCAAGAACTGTTAAGCCAGACATGCTCAAATACACGGTCGAGCCTTTCACAGCAGAGGTTGATGAACTTGAATGCAAAAGCTTGCAAGGACCCCATCGTTTTTGCGTTCTCCTTGTGTTCAATTTGTTTGAATTTTGCGCCGGCTAAAAAATCAATGATATCCATGTCAAGTACTACAACTTTGCACACTAGATGCATGGTCGCAGGTTGAATCTGGAAGGGTTTCTAGGAAGTCTTGTTTAAAAACAATAAAACATGTAGTCACAATGTTCACCCAAAACTACGAGGAATGCTTTTTAGCACATGGCACCTACTTTGTCAACAGCGCGTGGGTTATATAATGTTGTACCACATTCAGAAAAGGAATCTAGCTCACTCACTCTGTGCGGAATAAAATTCATGGACTCACATACTGATAATGCGTCATATCCAGCACATGTCCCACGCGTTCTCTCTAACCCCAATACACACACAGACACTGTGAAATTCCATATGGACGCAATGTGCAGGAATTACCAAACCCATATTCAGCGTATTCGAAAAATTTGATACAATCGGCGATCATATTGAAGGAAGGAAAGCCAATCAACTTTTCTTCCTAAACACCTTTGAATCGAAACAAGTTCCAAAAAGTTGAATATAAGTGTAGCCTAGATTCCCCCCTTCTAGATACAAATTGGAACCGAAAATCCAGACGTACAGTGGGACTGGGGAGGAACCCCGGCTTCCTACAGAGGCGAGACATATAGGAAGGGGTTTCAAAAACCACATAAAAGGGAAACACTTTTTCCGCACCCCTAGCTCCAGACAAAAGGGGTTCATATCCGGACAGGGCGGGGGATAAAAAAACAATAAGCCATGTGTTCCCCGCATTGTCCGGCGAATTCATCCCTCCTGCCTGGGAATATACTTATGCACAGAAACATCAAAGAACCCCGAATTGAGATTCACTAAATTTGTCCAAGTTGTGACTTTAGCAACATGAGAGCTCATGGGCTGTCAAAAAAAAAATGCTGTTGTTTCAAGCCCATTGATCGAACACAATTCAAGTTGAATGCTGCCAGCACACGAAACACACCCATTTAGCCTTGCCCGATTCAGAAAGCATGGCGCCCATCTGGGAAAGAACATACGAAAAACTGATTTGGTTGTGACAAACGCGCTTCGGCATCATCAAACCATAGCCATATGTATATCTATGTCGACACCATACCCTATATAACTCTGTCTCGTGATCGTCGCCGTCGTCCTCGTCATCGCCGTCATCGTCGTTCTCACCGTCGTCGTTGTCGTCCTGGCCACGTCGCCATGTCGTCGCCATGTCGTCGCCATGTCGTCGCCATGTCGTCGCCATGTCGTCGCCATGTCGTCGCCATGTGGTCGCCGTGTCGTCGCCATGTCGTCGCAATGCCGTCGCCAAGCCGTCGCCATGTGGTCGCCGTGTCGTCGCCATGTCGTCGCAATGCCCTCGCGATGCCCTCGCGATGCTGTCACCATGCCATGGGCATGTCGTCGTCATGTCGTCGTCATGCCGTCGCCATTTGCACCAACTAAGCTTGCCACAGACCCCCTGGTACATACTAGAAACCTCTGCCCACAGGCTTCTAGAATCTAGATAAGTTATAACCCAATAGACCCCACAAAACAGCTGGCAAATCCACTATCAATATCAACCATACCACCACCAACACCCTCGTCCTGTAGTTGTTGTCAATCAGCGTTGCCACATCTGGCCATTCATCTGGCGCCTTTCTCACAGAGTACACGCCTCATCGGATGCTGATGATGCTGACACGAAATCCTGATGATGTGCCATGGATCCATGGTCAAGGCATTTGGGTGTCATCTAACTATCATTGGGTGTTTTTTAATCCCTTTCAATGGATGACCCTTTTATGGATCCATTGACATGGGGAAAATCATCACCTATATGAATGGATGACACCCATTATAAAGGGAATCCTATTGGGGACTGTCATCCAACTATCATTAGGGATTCCCAATCATGGGTGTTTTTTAAGCCTTTTCATTGGGTTGATGACAATCCCCCAATATGGAGTCCATCTTTTGACACACCCTGGCGGACACGCTGCCATATCCCAAGCTAGCATACTTTGCACTGGGACAAATGAGGTGAGAAGAACATGGCAGAGAAGCTAAATGAAAATGACATACCATGCATCAAAAAAACAAAAACACTGTACAACGTACCGAGGATAATCACACCCGACTGTACTTCCTCATCCTGTGATCAAATGTTCTTTGCGAAGAGAATACAACGTTTGTGGGGCACCAAATCTAATTCGCCAGTAACCCGCTGGTCATCTTTTGACCATGGCACATATAGCAACCACCAAAAATGTGCAGTTGGAAACCCGCAGATTCTGCAGGAAACATCATCTACAACATCCTGGAGAAACCTTTCTATCTTGTGGGGAAAAAACGAGGGATATCATGGGACATAACAGGAATTTGGCCATATTCATTCTGGCATATTCTGGCCATAATTGAACTTATAACAAAAATCCATACATGGATTAACTACTAAATGAGCAGTGTCGGAAAACCTACAGAAAAATCCACCCAAAAAGGGCTTTGTTAATATAATGGGGGTTCCCATTTCATGGACTATAATAATCCCATATAATCCCAATGCGCCAATGAGTCGAGGGTAGCATAACACCCTAAAATCATCAACCAGCTGCTGCCTTATCTCGTTGCTCAAATGGGTATATGGTGGGCGGAGGATGCACCAACGTGTAACAGTTGGATGGGGTTAGAAATTCATTTAAACCTCGCGGGGATCTCCCATAGATTGAAGTATATGTGTCTAAAAATGCTGCATACGCATATGAAGATATTAATGAAGATCAATTAGCCGTGAATTTGGGGAATATGATGTTATCATTGGGATGATTTATTGGGACATCTACACCAAATTTTGTTTTTTGGTCCCGTCAATGAAAAAGGGGTCCCATGGATTTCCGGCAGATGTTCCCCAGATTTTCCCTGGTTTCAACTCATCCGGTTAAATATGATTCATGTGGGGATCATATCTTTGTGGCTCGTTGGTTAAAAATGAACATGAAACAACCGACCAAAAGTTGCACCTTTGATGATCTGTGACTTTTTTGTTGGCGGAAATTGCGGCTCATCAAGAAACAGCCATGATCATGATCCGCCCTGACCCTGCCTTTGCCCCACCATGCATTGGCCTTTTCACCTTCGGTGATGAGAGACGCCTGCGTTTTCGCTCCATCTGAAATGCTGATGTGGAGCTCATGCTGAGCAAATGGATGGCTTAAGACCAAATCTGACCAATCTTCTGGGTGCACGGGTAACCCATATATGTTTGACCCATGTTTGAGCCATGTTTGACCCATAGCCAACTGTGAAGTTGATAGCAGCTGAGGCCGGCACAAAGAGTTCAACTGCTTGCTTGCTGGGATCCGTGATGTTTCGAAAACCTTTCTCCGTGGTGTAGTGAAAGACGCATTCAACGTCACCAATGCCACACGATTGCGTGAGGTCCAATGCATCTGCCCAGACCTGCCGTGTTGCAGGCGAGGTATCTAGAATCGAGGTCTGCATTGGAACCGCAAAAGGATAGGCGAACAGCCACAGACAAACACCATGAGCAAAAAAACCAAATGATTGACGTATCCGCCCAATTCAATTATGGATGTTTGAATCGTTTTGTAGTTGTTTGGGTACCACAGAAACCACAGAAACTCGGATTTGTATCAACCATTCTCCATACTCCAGGGATCGAAAAACCAGGCACCAGAAAGGCACCTTGATACCTGATCCTTTGTGGATCCAGCACCAATCGTCTGCATGATGATCATATTCTTCGTTTTGAAAGACGCCACCACACTTGTAGTCTTTGAGAAAATAACTTCTGAGGGCCTCAGAAAGGGCAGGAAGGTGAGATAAGGTGAGGACCTCGCACGTGATCCTATCGGATGTTCACAGGGCTGTGCGACCAACACGAAACACCTGATCTAATTGAAATATGTTGTTGAAATAGTTTGAAGCCTATTGACTTTTTCACTGGTATCCATAGCCACAGCAGTCAGCCCCATCAAACACAAAACATCGAAGCTGCGCGGAAGCTCGGCTTCGAAGGAGCCTCCCTTTGAACCTGGCGCGCCATGCGCCAGGCACGGCGCCGGAAAGGATACATGGACAAAAAAATCGGTCCAAAAAAGGATCTCATTGCTGAAATTTAACAAATGAAATTAAAGGATCTCATTCTTAAAATGACTATCTCATTGTTGAACTGTTTTCGAATTTAAAAACTATGTATGTATAGACTATGTAGATTCTGTGGGGAAGAAAAGGACGACGAAGCAGGGATAGGACAAACATCACAGCACAATGGACCGAAGTCACTCAGTCACAATATCAAGAGCGGACCACACCATCACTGATGTGTCACGTCTCATGGCGAACCTCGCATCACCAGAACACTTGACACTGAGCGGTCCCCGTTTTCAAACGAAGTCTATGCACTGCTAGAGGCTGTACCCTCAAGAAATAGAACTCTGAGCATTGCATGTTGTGATATTATATTATGGAATATCTTATGATACCTTAGCTTATTGCTACCCCATAAAGATCTGCAGACTCCTGCCTTTTCCAAAAATCTTGCCCCAGCGCTCACTTGCTCATGGGTGCTCATTTGCGTGTTTCTCATTGGTTGTTGTGTCCTCACAACAAAAAAACAGTTGGGAAAAAAAACTCTCTGAAAACAACCAAGTTAGGGTTGTCATTTCTCATTTTTTCAAAGAACATGCAGATTTCAGCATCAAAAATCAGCAGCGGGTCATAAAATCAATGCCCATTCCAGGATCCGATTGGAGGTACCTACCATATATAAGGCCCATTTTTCAGGGAATATCCCCAGAAAATACAGCCAAACACATGGTACTAACGTATCTCCATTTTTGGATCCTGAAAAACTCAGCACGAGCAGTGCAACTTCCGAACTTCCACTCTGCCTCCAAACTCGCCACGGCCGTCCAAATCCTTTGGCGTTCCTCCTGCGCCAGAAAGCCAAAAACTCGTACAGCAAGTCATGAACATTAGCTCTAGTGTGCTGATTATAATGTATTATTATTATTATTTAACATAGACCCGGGCAAGCCGGCGGCGGAAGTTTCCCAAACATAAATGACCTATAGTTCAAAGACACCCTGTCCCGACCGTGTCCTTCCCTCGACACTCCACACCTCACACTGCACACTGCACTCTTCGCACTCCAAAATTCAAACTTCACACTCCACACTTCACACTCCACACTTCTCACTGCTTCCTTCACACTCCAAACCTCACACTTCACACTTCACACTTCACACTGCACTTCGCACTTCACACTTCACAGTCCACACTTCACACTTCTCACACACTCCAACACTTCACACTTCTAACTTCGCACTTCACACTTCACACTTCTCACTTCTCACACTCCACACTTCACACTTCACACTTCACACTTCTCACTTTGCACTTCACACTCCAAACTTCACACTTCTCACTTCACACTCCACACTTCACAGTCCACACTTCACACTTCTCACTTCTCACTGCTTCCTTCCCACTCCAAACTTCACACTCCAAACTTCACACTTCACACTTCTCACTTCGCACTTCACACTCCACACTTCACTCACACTTCACACTTCACACTTTTCACTTCTCACTGCTTCCTTCACACTCCAAACCTCACACTTCACACTTCACACTTCACACTGCGCTCTTCGCACTCCAAACTGAAACTTCACACTCCACACTTCACACTTCTCACTTCCCACTGCTTCCTTCACACTTCACACTTCACACTGCACTCTTCACGCCCCACACTTCAGACTGCTCTAAACGTACGTTCAACAAAAAAACACTAGTGCCAAAATGGAGAAATCTGCTAACAAACCCATTTCGCAGCCTTCATGCAGCCACTCCAAGACGATTTCCGAGATCCAGCTGCAAAAGACAATAGTATTACGAATGCAGCCACAGCACGAAGCAACCTTGACGCAGCCATTACAATGCGATCTGCAGAGACTGAGTTGCAAAGCACAATAGAACTACGCGCAACGGCGTCGGAAATTGTAGCTCCAAAACCGGATGGATCTCGACGCCAGAGCGAAAAAAAGACGATTTTGAAGCACTTTTTAAAAAGATTTTTAAAAAGAAAATCACTGGCGCCAAAATGGAGAAAATCTGCTGACAAATCACTGTCGCAGCCTTCATGCAGCCACTCCAATACGATTTACGAAGTCCAGCTGCAAAAGACAATAGTATTACGCATGCAGCCAAAAGAGGAAGCAACACTTGCAATCTCATTTACACTGCGGGAACGATCCTACAGTTGCAAAGCACAATGGAATTCCATCGGCAACTCATCCACCAGCACCACTTGCAATGCCATTTGCATTGCGGGAACGATCCTACACTTCCAAATCACAATGGAATTCCATCGGCAACTCATCCACCAGCACCACTTGCAATCCCATTTACATTGCGGGAACGATCCTACAGTTGCAAATCACAATGGAATTCTGTCGACCGCACATGCACGAAAGGAACAGTTTTGGAAACCCCATTACAATGCGGAAACCGATTCCGAAGCATGATACCGAAGCATGTCCGAGACCGCATCCGACCATGATCCGACCCACCACGAGGACCGTTCGCAAAACGTCGCACCGCAGAGGTAGATCATCGAGGTTCGGGGACGGAATTTGTATGGAAAAAAACATAGGGTTTTTTCGTGATTCTGCTATAGAGCTCAAAACGCATTCGTGCGAGACTTCCTCCAAAAACTCCATCGGCAACTCCTCCACCAGCACCACTTGCCAATCCATTTACATTGCGGAACGATCCTACAGTTGCAAATTCACAAATGGAATTCCCTCGGGCAAAATCATCCACCAGCACCACTGCGGGCAATCCCATTTACATTGCGGGAACGATCTACAGTTGCCAAATCACATGGATTCTGTCGACCCACAAATGACGAAAACACAGTGACACCCCATTTACAATGCTGAACCGATCCGAGCATGATCCGACCATGATCCGAGACCGATCCGACCATGATCCGACCACACATGAGACCGTCTCGCAACCGTCGCACCGCAGAGTAGATCATCGAGGTTCGGGGACGGACTTTGTACCCAAAAGTCTGGTTAGGCTAATTCCTGCCTATTAGGTTGTTTTAGTTTTTAAGGTTAAATTCTATCTATTAGGTTATTTCATGTTCTGTCTTTTAGGTTGTTTGCCTGTTTGCCTAAATAGGTTATTTAGCCGAATAACCTAAAAACTGTCTTGTTTGAGAATAACCTAAAAACTGTCTTGTTTGAGACTTTGTTTTTCTTTCACCAAACTATATTTTCAACAGTTTAAACTAAAGACACAGTCTTTTTCCATATTTGTTTCCTTTGGAATTTTTGAATTACATGTTTTTTTGGCAAGTAGTTTTTCAAATGTTTCTTCATTGTTTTGTGAGTGATGTATGTCACTTTCTTTTGATATATGCGGGTCTGAAGTGATTTTTTGTGCTAAAGTGAAGCCTTTTGTGCTAAAGTGAATCTGTAAATTTCAGTCGGATATGTTTTAGATGGGGCAAACCAACACAGCATGGAAGCAACAAAAACACATGTCCAAAACAATATGAGCAAATGGGTATGTCTCAACATGAAGTGTCCTTTTTTGACCCCAAAATGGTTACGTTGAAGGGAAAAAAGGTCACCTCATTTTCAGACATACCCAAACAAGAAAAAAACATGTTTTGCAACAATGGCAATGGATAGTTTTTGGGAGCGCCAAGCCAGCACAGGATGAAAAAACAAAAACAAGAAGAAAATTGAAACCAACAAATGCAAAACAACAACACACAGTAATAATCAAAAATGTTAAAACAATTGTCCAAAACCTAACTTGTCAGCTGCATCGTTTATGAAACTCAGAGGAGTTCATGTGAATTCGCGGGTGCTCATTGCTCATGGGTGTTCATGTGTGTTTTTCATTTTTTTCGGCTGCCACCTATTTAGTTTACGCAGTGGGTTTCCATGCCCAAAAAGAAAAATCAAAGGATATTTTTCGTGAGGTTCGCGCGCGTTTTTTGGGTATAAAATGGCTGCCCCCCGGCGCGCGAACCCAACCAAAAAAACAAGTTTAGACAGTTGCTGATTTGGTTGGTGGTTTTTTGTCTCATGCGCTGCTATTTGGCTGCAAAACCTGTGCCTTGGTGACCAGATTGAAATCCCTGAGTTCTTGGTCAGCTTGGACTCGATGGTTATTTGTTGTTTTTTTAAGATAAATTTGGGGCTAGAGAACCCCAAATCATTGGCAAACCTTGGCTTTGAAGGGCATTTTTTGAAATCATCATAAACAAAAACTGTCAAGACTGGAAGGTTTTTCACTTGTAAGAAAGTAGTGGCAATCACAAAATGTTTGAAGACTTGCTTGGTGAGGATTGGTTGTATTCGAGTTGTTTTTGCAAAAACTAAACGGAGCAATCCAGCCAAGACTTGATCAATCACTAAGGGGGTCTCCATCCCTCAAAGCTTTTTACATCAAAACGCCTGCCCAAAGATTTGCAATCACCTGGGGCTCTCCATCCTTGGCCTTTCTCCCCATTGAAAAAAACAACGAAACCACCAAACAATGCAACTGACTTGAGGTGATCAGCATTCATGTCTTTAAGGCAAGTTTTAAACCCAGAATTTACCCAAAATAAAGAGAAGGGGTGTCAATCCCAGAGCCCATCCATTATTACGTTTTTTCCTCAAACCTATTTGCAAGAAAACGCAATCCAACCCAGAGTTAATCGATCACTTGGGCCTTCCCATGCCAATCCATTTCCTAAAAATTAATTCAAATGTTTTGCAATGACTTGGGACCCTCCAGTCATCAAATTCATTCACATTTGCATGGGAAAATTTCTCCCAGAAAGTGTATGGTTGAAGATTTGTTGATGGAAAAAAGTGATTGACCAAACATTTTTTTGACAAGAAACATTAAAAACACATGTTTTTTAAAATAAAATCATGTTTTTTGCTGAATAAACATGTTTTTTTTACTAAAAACCAATATTTTTTGAATAAATTCAAGATTTTTTTTAAATAAATCCAAGATTTTTCAAAGATTTTCAAGGAAATGAGGTGTAAGTTTGATGTAAGTTTGCATCAAACTTACACTTTTGAGGTGTAAGCTTACATCAAACTTACACTAAACTTACACATCAAGAGTGTAAGTTTACACCAAACTTACATATCAAAAGTGTAAGTTTACATCAAACTTACACTGGGAAGTGTAAGTTTGCACTTGTATGTGTAAGTTTGATGTAAACTTACACTTTTGATATGTAAGTTTGGTGTAAACTTACACTCTTGATGTGTAAGTTTAGTGTAAGTTTGATGTAAACTTACACCTCAAAAGTGTAAGTTTGATGCAAACTTACATCAAACTTACACCTCATTTCCTTGAAAATCTTTGAAAAATCTTGGATTTATTTAAAAAAAATCTTGAATTTATTCAAAAAAAATGGTTTTTAGTTTTAAAAAACATGTTTATTCAAAAAAAAACATTGGTGTTTATCCAGTTTTTTTGAAAAAAACATGTTTTTTTTAAATGTTTGATCAGTCATTTTTTCCATCAAAAAGTCTTCAACCAAACACTTTCTCGGAGAGATTTTCCCATGCAAATGTGAATGAATTTGATGACTGGAGGGTCCCAAGTCATTGCAAAACATTTGAATTAATTTTTAGGAAATGGATTGGTGGGAAGGCCCAAGTGATCGATTAACTCTGGGTTGGATTGCATTTTCTTGCAAATAGGTTTGAGGAAAAAAAAACGTAGTAATGGATGGGCTCTGGGATTGACAACCTTTTTCCCCCTTTTTGTAAACATGAATCTGAAAACTGCAAAACCCAAAATTTAATGGCAAATTCCAGGTTTAACTGCATAGAAAATGTGAATGCTGAACACCCCAAGTCATTGTTTGTTTTTACTCGCATTTTTTTTGGCATAAATGTCAAGGATGGAGAGCCCCAGGTGATTGTTAATCTTTGTGTTGGTTTTCTGATATCGAGGGCTGGAGGCCCTTTAGTGATTGATCAAGTCTGGGCTGGATTGGCCGTTTAGTTTTTTGCAAAAAAAAAATGAATACAACCAATCCTCACTAGGACTTTCTTCATTTTTTTGGCCGACCACTGCTTTTGACAAATGACAGGCCATCCAGTCTTGACAGTTTGTCTTTATAAAACTACTGCTGCCCGAACTGGTTTCAAAAAAGGCCCCTCCAAAACCCTTGGATTGCCGATAATTCAAGAAAAAAATCAGCCCAGGGCTGGGACCTCCATCTCAAGTTCATTCTTTTAAGTTCAAAGAAAGTGGATGGCAGCAAAACAAAACGACAAACAAACAAAAACACATGAACACCCATACACACGCATGAACAACCATGTACATCCATGGACACCCATGAGCACTTGAGCGCGCATGAGCACCCATGAACTCACATGAATTCGTGTTTTTCCAAATACAATGCAGCTGGCAAATTACTTGTTGAACCATATGTCTCACAGTTTTTGAACTTCTTATTTTGGGTTGTTGGCTATGTGAGTTTTTGATTTAATTATTCTTTTCTTGAACTGAACATTAGTTTTATTTTTATGTTTTATTTGTTTTTGTTTTGTCCTGTGGTGGCTTCGCGCCCCGACGAAGAAGATCCTTGCTGATTTTTGCAAAACATGATTTGTCATTTTTATATTTTTAAAACTATCTATATATAGTTATTTATTTATTCAAATTTATTTATATATATATACATATGTATATGTATATATTAATATATATTTGCATATATGTGTATATATATATATATGTGTGTGTGTGTAAATTTATGTATTTATATATATATATATAAAAGTGTGTGTGTGTGTGGGGGGTTGTCTCAAAATGAGGTGTCCTTTTTTCCTCTCAACGAACCCTTTTTGGAACCAAAAAGACACCTCGTTTTGAGACATATCCATGTATATACAATATATTTATTTTTTGACATGTGTTTTTTTGTTTCTATCCTGTGCTGGTTTGTCCCATCCAAAATATATGGTTTTTGTTTTTCTTTTGTATGTAGTTTTTTCAGCATCATTTTATCGGAAAAAATGTATCAAATCAAAAAATGTTTCATTGGAGATTGCAATATAGATAGATATTTTTATATAAAAATAAAACGAAGTTTTTCCAAAAAAAGGTGCCAAAACAGGTTTTTCATATAAATAACCTATAAGAAAAAAAGGTTATTCATATAAATAACCTAAAGAAAAAAATGTTATTTGATCATTCTGACTATTAGGTAAAACAGTTGTTTTACCTAATAGGTAAAAACAAAATTTAACTAATAGTCAGAAAACAAGATATAACCTAATAGATAGAATTTAGCCTAACCAGAGCTTTTGGGTATGGAAAAACATAGGGTTTCGTGCATCTGCTATCTCTCAAAAACGCATTTCGTGCGAGACTTCCTCCAAAACTCCATCGGCAACTCCTCCACCAGCACCACTTGCAATCCCATTTACAGTGAGGGAACGATCCTAGAGTTGCAAATCACAATGGAATTCCATCAGAAACTCATCCACCAGCACCACTTGCAACCCCATTTACAATGCGGGAACGATCCTACAGTTGCAAATCACAATGGAATTCTGTCGACCACAAATGCACGAAACACAGGTGACACCCCATTTACAATGCGGAAACGATCCGAGAATGATCCGAGCATGATCCGAGAATGATCCGACCACACACGAGACCGTCTCGCAACCGTCGCACCGCAGAGGTAGATCATCGAGGTTCGGGGACGGACTTTGTATGGAAACACATAGGCTTTCGTGCATCTGCTATCTCTCAAAAACGCATTTCGTGCGAGACTTCCTTCAAAACTCCATCGGCAACTCCTCCACCAGCACCACTTGCAATCCCATTTACAGTGAGGGAACAATTTCTTTGCTAACTCTTTCTGTGACTAACTCTTTTCCTCACTAACTCTTTCTTTGACTAACTCTTTCCCTCACTAACTCTTTCTTTGACTAACTCTTTCCCTGACTAACTGTTTCTTTGCTAACTCTTTCTTTGACTAACTCTTTCTTTGACTAACTCTTTCCCTCACTAACTCTTTCTTTGACTAACTCTTTCCCTGACGAACTCTTTCTTTGACTAACTCTTTCTTTGACTAACTCTTTCCCTCACTAACTCTTTCTTTGACTAACTCTTTCTGTGACTAACTGTTTCTTTGCTAACTCTTTCTTTGAATAACTCTTTCCCTCACTAACTCTTTCTTTGACTAACTCTTTCCCTGACTAACTGTTTCTTTGACTAACTCTTTCTTTGACTAACTCTTTCCCTCACTAACTCTTTCTTTGACTAACTTGTTTCTTTGAATAACTCTTTCCCTCACTAACTCTTTCTTTGACTAACTTGTTTCTTTGCTAACTCTTTCTTTGACTACCTCATATATCCTGACTAACTCTTTCTTTGACTAACTCTTTCCCTCACTAACTCTTTCTTTGACTGACTCTTTCCCTCACTAACTCTTTTTTTGACTAACTCTTTCCCTCACTAACTCTTTCTTTGACTAACTCTTTCCCTGACTAACTGTTTCTTTGACTAACTCTTTCTTTGACTAACTCTTTCCCTCACTAACTCTTTCTTTGACAAACTCTTTCCCTGACTAACTGTTTCTTTGCTAACTCTTTCTTTGACTAACTCTTTCCCTCACTAACTCTTTCTTTGACTGACTCTTTCCCTCACTAACTCTTTCTTTGACTAACTCTTTCCCTCACTAACTCTTTCTTTGACTAACTCTTTCCCTGACTAACCGTTTCTTTGACTAACTCTTTCTTTGACTAACTCTTTCCCTGACGAACTCTTTCTCTCACTAACTCCTTCTGTGACTAACTCTTTCCCTGACATTCTAAAAGTCCGTAACACGGAAGTTTCTCCCCCTAAACTTCCTTTGATTATTACTACTATTATTATTATATTATTATTATTTATTATTATATATATATGTATGGTGTGACAGCCGACATGGAAACACAAAACTGGAAAACATGCAGCACAAAACTGGAAAACATGCAAGCAAATACAAAACTGGAAAACTGGATGGTCACCGGTCTCCTTTGGCGTACCTTTGTGCCCATATATATATATATATGTATATATATATGTATATATATATATATATGTATATATATATGTCTATGTATATATATGTATATATATATGTATATATATATGTATATGTATATATATGTATATATATATATGTATATATATATATATGTATATATATATATGGGTTAAGTTCTGTCTATGCATTATGTTTCATTTGAGGCGATCGGCCCATACCAGCCCATCACAAGCAATGTATATATATATATATATATAGTCACATTTAGATAGATTCACTCATGGACACTTCCTTCACTGTCAATGCCTGATGGCTAATGGTTGCAGAAGGACACAGCGAATTGGAGCATGTAACATGACTTATGAACAAGTTCAAGTATGCAATTATATATATATATATTATTATCCCCTGAATATGGTGCGCCATCTTTGCAACCTAGTAATCTCTATATTTGTTAAACAGGTCAAGTATACAAGTATCAAACCCCTAAATCCTGTATACCCCATTTTTGCTGTCTTTTTAAGCTTAGATTGCATTTTTGATGTTTTTTTTTACATATGCCAACTATTCATGGGTCCCTATATATATATATATATGTGACTTTTATGACCCATTCCCAGCCATCAAAATTGGGTTCCTGGGTGAGGCCAGCTGCAATGGCGGCAGCCTGTGCGACAGCTGAGATCTTGATGATGAGTTCCTGGATGGTGATTTTGGTTTCTTTTGTAGATGACGATAGTAATCATTGTGATATCATCTGGAATGAGTGAGGTCTTTTCCTATTTTCATCACAAGATCTTTCTAGATGATCAACCCAGTTTTCTTGAGTGATTCATCTATAGGTGAAAACTGGATTGATCATCTAGAAAGGTCAGTGATTACAATATGGGATGTAATCAACTATCCTGATGATTACTTTATATGAGGTGATAGTGCAATTTTTCTAGGTGAGCCATCAACCCTGGTGATTACATCCCATATCCTGCAGGATACACTCTCCTCAGTTTCAAGGTGGCTACTGCGGACCATGCAGGTCTCCTAGGAACTCAAGGTGGGTACTGGTGCCAGGTCTCAAAGTTTATGGCAATGTCAATAAGACACACGATACCCGGCCTGGTAAACGTTTACATCACGAACTGGAAAATCTTAATTTTTAATGGGTAAATCAACTATTTCGACTGGGCCATTTTCAATAGCTTTTTGTAATAAATTACCAGAGGATAATCTAGATGATCAACCGGAGCGGATTTTCAGGGCTACCCGACGAGCGAGTTTTCTCAAATGAGACTTGGGAATTGCGAAGCTAGGGGCTTCCAAACTGATCAAAATGAACGGAGCACTATTTCTGTCGACTGTTGGCGGACCACTCTACTGAATGCTTTATATGTTCTTGACTGTATAGCTTGATGACCTCTCCAAACAAAACACATATTCAAAACCATTATTCTCCTAATAAAGAATGTTCTAGCAGAACAAAGCCTCACCAATCCCACAAAACACGAAAAGGCCTGGGCTGCCCATCACCAATATTTTTCCACAGAATTCCTTCAATCTTTTGCACGCACTTAAATAGCCCGTTTTCTGTTTCCTAGTCATCTGGGTGATGTTTGGTTCTTGGCAGCAAGCGCCTATAGTAAACTCCCCAATCTTGGTGCCAAGCGGCTCCCGAATTATGGTTTTTGGCGCACTGAAGCCACTTGGGGGTTATACCATGGTTATGTCCAAACCAAATTGTTAGGAAACCATGGCAAATTATGGTTATACCGTACCGATATGATGATGGATGATGGATGATGGATGATGGATATGATGATGATGATGATGATGATGATCAATGATCGATGATCCATTGACGAGGCAGACAGGAAGACATTCAGGTCGACAGACAGACAGGTAGATAGATAGACAGACAAATGGATAGATACCTAGATCTACAATCGATGGCATAAAGTGGTAAACTTGCGGATTGGCCCTCTTTTTGGCAAATCGACTTGTTCTGGGGTGCACTTGGGCAATTTGACCAAAACGACCTGAAGTGACCAAATCACATGATAACTTACCAAATCCATCCCATTCACATGTTTCTGTGCACCTTGTTGCGCACCATGGCCGCATTTGTGGGCCTCTCTTCCAGGCTTTACCCCCTTGCCCGGCTCTTTCTTTTTCGACTACTTGTCAACGATTGTCAGATTCACTGCAGCCGTGAAACGCACTCCTGCTCTTTGGGCAAGCCCTGGCTCACACCATGATTCATCATTGCATTTTGGTCCGTTGGTTCAGGATTGGCAATGGTAATTACCATCCATGCAAGGATGCCTACTAGCGAAATGGTAAAACCACCTAAGATCTTCAAGTACAAGAAAATAGATGTATCTGTCAAGTCTTGCCCAAGAGTGGGAGGGGAGTTGGGAACTTCGCCGGAGGGCCGACAAACTCAGCCTTGTTGCCTGGCCTCGGGTGTTTGTGCTGACGCAGGGGGCCTGAGATGGAAGCAAGTGAAGTATGCTCGCGGCCTTCATAGTATGAATGCAAAAATATGATTGGTTTGCAAACACTCAGGCTCAGGTTTCCATTGTTGAGAAGCCCATGACCCGGAACATTCTCAAGGAGAACAAACTCCGGCATGCCATCAGTGATTTGGGCTTGAGGGTGTCGGTCCCAACTTGCCAAGTGCATGTAGAGGAGTTGCATGCTGACAACGCGTAACTTTACTATCTTACTATGCTGTGTTGATGTGGCACTCCACCTTCAATTTGTTGGGGGACGCATTGTGCAAAAACTGGGAAATTGGCGAAACAACTTATGTCATGTCATGATTTAAGCGATCCATGCGTTCATGCATCGTCATGTGCATGTTTCATCTACACATCGTATTTTCAGATCAAAATCGGATCCGACCAGCTTAAGTACAAACTTCAGCATGGCTGGGCTTTAGGAAAACTGACTGGGTTGCAAGACTGTCGAAAAGCATGCCCGATCAAAGTTCCACATTGGTGGCAATCTTCGCTTCGCGGTCAGATTCTTGCGGTCTTATCAATATTCCCGCAGTATTTATCTGTTACATGCATAGGTGCAATGGAGTCACTCATCAATGTCTGATCACATAATATGCATATCACCTTTTAACCCACGATTTCTCATCGTGTCCCTTTATTTGTGCCATCAGCTGACTCAGCGATCTATACAAAGACCACATGTGTTCATTCCGCATCTTACTGGACATGCATTACTAAAGTCCGTCATATTTTATTTGATGTCAATCCTGACCTGTTCGCCATCCCCGCATCCATGTGTACCCACTGCTTGGAGCGCAGGCCAGCAATCAAAGTTATTCGTACCCTGCACGGAGATGGAGCGGTGGGCTTGCCGGGAGATGTCAAAGACTGGTCATCATGGCATGGGTTATATAAACTTTGCAAATTCATGTGAGTGAACATCCTTTATTTTTCAAATAGCCTGAATGTATCTACGTATGCTGTACCAAAGTTGTTGGCCCAATCCACTTAGCAATATTTTTGCGCGAGGGCGTGCTGTCATGCCTCACCATCGTTGGGAGTTGGCCATCCCCAATCTCACGCAGCTTCAAGCACCCAAGGCCAGGTCATAACCTGCCAGTACCTGTGCGCAGGTCTTCATGGCCAACGTTCTGGCTTCAAATTTCAAGTCATGTAAGACGGGCAAGTCTTACGACCTAGCAGCATGTAACGAGATTTTATGGTAATTACATTTTTCTGAATATTTCTGAGGTGTATTTATGCATGCGATTGAATGATTGACTTGCCCCATCCGACCATGTCTTCCCACTTTGGCCCTCTTTTGCCAGGGTAGTCCTCTTGCTGTTGACCACCTTGGCGATGCACGGGGTGTTCTGTGTGGAGCAGCCCTCATCATCCTTGCTGATGAGGAATGACCGCATGGTGCGGCTCCGAGAATTGATGGATGAACTTTCCATGAGGGACCCCGAGCAATATTACCTTCAGGGAAGTTTTGCCCTTTGACATGCTGTTAGAGTGGTATTTTCTGTCATCCCTTAGCTTACTGGTTCTTTGGGTTCGAACCAATGCACAAGCCCGACCCCGGCCTTGGCTCGCGCGCGGCTTCAAACCTGTGGACCTGATCTGCGATCGCAGATCGTCCGCAGATGCATTTGCGATGCGCCCCGTCCTGCAGTCAAGAAAAAATGCAGGTTGCTGTGAACTACCCTGGTGGTAGTTTCGCAGTGTCCGACCGCTGCGGCGACAGATCAAGACAGAGTGCCACCAGAACTACTGCGCAATCCAGGTGGACACTGATTGAAACATGCTGGCTGCTGTTAAGAATTTCAGACCCCTCTAAATTCATCGTTTTAACATTGACATGCACAGTTTGTCTTCTACTGAGCCCCGTGGATGACAAATGCGCTGGAATGCAACAACATGTCTAGCGCGCCTTGCGCGGGCAGGTGGCGTGGTGATCTTGGTCGAGCAGACGTTGGAGAATTCCGCTCTTAACTTCCGACGGCACCTGCTGGCAGCTGGCATTTCACGGAAGCATGACCACGATTTCATGAAGCACACTCTCCATTCAAAAGTTTCAACTTCACTTGGCTGCCAAACACTGCAACGAATGCGGCACACAACAATGTTATCCTTCCAATTCTTCCCTGCGGCCTCAGGTTGGTCTGGATCCCAGTTCAGCTGCAGCCTGTCATTGCCTGGGCCCAGCCATTGCAAACACAGACACCAGCTGGAGCAAATGGCAACTGCTGGCCTTGCAGACCAGAACTCTTAATGACGGCCACAAAAAGCACTAGCAACCCAACCTTCCAACTGTGAATCCCTGCGTTCAAGCATTAATTACTTCCGTCAAGATAAGTTGGTTTCAACAAGGGTCACCGTGTATCTGACTGCGATTTGGGAGCGCCGCAAGACCCCTGCCCAACACATTGCAGCTAAGTTGCTAAAAAGCTGTTGAGCAAGGGCCTGCTCAAAATCTTCCTCCGGACGGAGCATCCGCACCAAGATGGCATCGCGTCTATTCCTCAGGTAGGCCCAAGTGCTGCAGGTTAAATACGTATCTTTCGCCCTGGCCACTTTAGAAGCGCACCGGTATCGATTTTTGGACGCAGTATGCCGCATGACAATGGTCTTGACCAGTTGATCATGTCACTGGCGCAATGTGGCGTAATTCTATCGATTCAGATTGGCACTTTCCTTACCTTGTCTCCTTTGATTCACGGAAACAACTTTTCCACCAGGTTCATCAATCACCTCAAGACCGCAAAAGGACCACCAGGACCGGAAATCCAAGCCAAATGATTCACCACCCTAATGGCTACATGGGCTGGCCATGGAACTACCCGCGCATTCTTTGGCGTTCGAAGCTGTCGCCCGCATGGCTGTAAGTATAAATTATAACCCAACCCGGTTTATCCAACATGGCTTGTGTGATGGCAGGTTACCACCCAAATTGCGAACGGGTCCCAGGGTCATCCCTCAAGTGCAAGACCAATTGATCACCTTTAGAACCTTCGGGCTCTCCCCTTTCAAAGTCGATGCGTCAAATCGTGTCTCATTGTTGTATGGTGTCTCGTAGTTGTATGTCCCACAGCTGAAAGACCAGGTTCTCCTGCCACCACTTTGCCTCGAAGTGGGTGGAGACCTTGCACTTGGTCTTCTCGCCATATGTGCAAGTGCCCAGAACCACAAAGAAGTCAGCTTCCTGCAGCTGCTTCTTCGTCTCTCCTAAGTTCACAAGGTGGACCAATGAAGGTGGAAGATGCAGCCAACCCAAAATACATGGCCACTGCAGTTGGTGAACATCCGTTGGGTCTTGCCATGGGCCCCAACTAGATTGCAGAGGGTCCGCTGGCATTTGGCTAAGGTGGAAGGACCCAAATGACCCCATTGACTGATATTGACTGTGCTTTGATTTCGCCAGAAGGCGCCTCCCTGGAGAACATCCTGCCTCAGCCTCCTGTCATGGCCGAGTTGCTCCCAATGGATTTTCCGGCCGAGGTATTCACGATCTGGGCCTCCACCCTGTAGCCT